AAGTAAGTAATTTAAGTTACTCAAATAATTGATGCTCTAATGCTAATGAATAATTCACCGATAGTTGGCTGCAAGCGACTTCTTCTTTTGAACTGCACTCCGCGACCATCGGATGGGCGGAGCCTCATACCCACTGTGCCCTTTTCGGCGGCTCACCTCTCCTCTTTATCGTATTAGAAGGAGAAAGGCGCGGGCGGAGCCTCATACCCACTGTGCCCTTTTCGGCGGCTCACCTCTCCTCTTTATCGTATTAGAAGGAGAAAGGCGCAGTGGTTAAGGGTCTTTACTGATTCGATTATGACCAAATGTGTCTTTACTTTCAATCTATGTAAAGTTGCTCGAAAATCAAGCAACTTTTCAATTTGGGGTTTGAGGCCTACCCTCAACAGTGCCTCTAACGGATCACGCATGCCTGGAATGACTAGAACATAGGCCACAATAGTGTTTTTTAACGCTTAAAATATCCATTTCTAAACTAAAATCAAATTCCAATGAATAATACTCTGAATTCTCCTTCTGCAGATTCCTGCATAGTCCCGACTTCACGCTGTAAGTATCATCGTTGTGGCTTTTTTAATTTCGGTGTTATTTGATGTCAACGTTGAACGTTGATGTTAATGTATCGTGTTGTTCCGTTGTAGACTCCACGGGGATCTTATCCTGAACGAAACACCTTTTAGGCAGGCGGATTTCCGATTGATGCACTGGCTGAACGTCCAGGAAGATACCTATCCGCTTGTGATTTACGAGTGTGACTACACACCAACGAACTGGACACGAAGGTGAGCTCTGCCTTGAAATTGTTTTGCTGATATGAGATTTTCTTGATATATGTCCTAATGAGTCGCTACGAATCACTGGGTCATGACAGAAGGTTCGACGTAAGGTCGTTAGGGTTTGCAATGACCTGTTTTTGCCATAGCGCCGTAAACTTTCAGGTCAAAAGGGAACTGAAGGTGTCATAAGGGTGTGCCAAGAGTTGGACCGCAACTAGCATGCTCCGGGCTAGGAAGTCGAGGAGTTCATCTCTAATTCTCCCTTGTTCCCCTCATACACGTCCTCTTTCATCTGTTTCCTCGCTCACAAGCCAAGTCCCAGGTGTAGGAAAGTATTTCTTGGGACTTTGCCGATCTCACGGCATTCCTTTGCCCAGGCATGTGCTCTTGAACTTCTGGAAGTAAATATACTTCCTTCGAAGCCAGAAAGAAGTGGATGTGCGTACGGACGCGATTAGAAAGGATCAATGAACAAAGGCGCTAAACTGTCAGTACAGGCAGTCTTGTGCAGTTGAAGTGCAGTTGAACGTGCAGCCGTTATACTGAAGTCAGTCGGGGCGTGTCAGCAGGGCGTGTACTGGAGCAGAGCCGACCCCTTTCCCTCCTTTTATTGAACCTCCTAACTCGCAACAATCGATAACGCCGGGGGGAATCCACTGCACCCTCGCCGGGACGCCCCGACTGACTTCAGTGATAGCGACTGTACTGGGTGCAACCAGTTGCTTCATAGTTTTTTGTGCAAACCCTACACAGTTTTTTTTTTTTTTTGCTGCAACTCGCTCATCTCTACGTTGAACTGTCTAGGTGTTTACGACAAGCTGATTCTATTCTTGTGGTAGCAATGGGAAACAAAAAAGCTTCCAGTCAAACGTTGGTGAGTATTTCAAATTTCTATCCATTTGCTTCAAATGCTGTGCGAAGCTGTACAGCTGTCTTAATCGTATATCATATCAGATGCGCGAGCTGCTGAGCACAAACCAGGATGGTGTGCGTACGAACAAGGAATTAGTTCTACTTTGGCCTGAAAATACCGCCACTCCAACTGGTACTCATGTTTGGCTGAAGGATGTATACTATTCAGGTGCATCATGTTATCCAGTTTATGGCTCATAACTAGCCTGGGTTATTGCATTTCATGTGTCTCCTTTCGGAGGCTTGGTTCCCTTGAAAAGAGCGTTCGAGCAGCAATCCACACTGATCACAAGGTCGTGGGCGCCGTCTCGCCCTCCTTGTGGCTTCCAATTTGGTGCGCTCCTCCTGCCCAAGACTTTGAAGAGTATGGGCGCGTCAACGAGGAAGGTTCAATGTTGTCCGCCCATGCTGCAACTAGCGTGGAGTGCTCTTTCAAGCATTTTCCAGTTATTTTAACACTCTTGTCCGATGGGCTGTGGGCTGTGTCAGTGAGGCTGGATTTGGTGCGCCGCCAGCTCGTTCTCCGCCAGTTGTTGAAATGCGTAAGCGACAACAACTGGTGGAAAACGACTGACTTTGGAGAAGCCTACATATACGAGGGGCTACGTATACCATTTATTATTTGAACGACTCCCCGATCGACTCCTGCCCTGAATATAATAAGCCGATGCTGAACCACCTACGGATAAGGGTTGCTTCTACGAACTATGGATCACACATGCTTTCGAATTTGTTTCGTTATGATAACAAGTTTAACGCTGCAGTTAGCTCTCCGAAGATTATCACAAGAATTTTGAGTCATGAGTGATAGTTTTGACCCGAGGGTGGTCCCCTAAACGTGGGCGGGGGGGGGGCCAGCACACGCTTTGTGGACGAGTACTCTATCCGTAACAACACCAACACCAAAGTCGCCCTCTTGTTTTGGGGGCCCATAGAGGTGAGAGGCTGCTCTGGTGGCGTATCGGATAGGGTTCTCGTCCCAAAAGTGTGAGGTGTGCGTTCGAGTTTCGCAGCGGACAAGACTTTTGCCCATAAATCAGCCTTGTGGTAGTGCTCTCGAAAGCTTTGTAGTTAAGCGTTCTTTGTGTAACCCGCGTACTTGTGCATCCCTTAGGGATTTGTCATTGCCAAACAATTGACCCATTTTCACGTTTATTTTTCAGTACCCATCCCAGTGTTGTCTCTTTAGGTCATCATCACATTCGAGCTCCAAAGCGAATGTTCCAGTGGACGTCAAAGAAGACACGCAAATCTTCCAGGGAAATGCTGCATCCAGTAAGATACTTCTCTTACTTTTATTTCCTTTTTTTTCTCTTGAAATTAATTTCGTATCGATACCGTGTTAAGAGTAACGAGCAAGATATTATCGACTTCTACGAGAAGAATGTATTTTGGACTTTCGACTTCCGGTCAGATTTTGCCCGATTTGCTCGCATTCTCACGGGAAATGCGATAGGACTGGCACTCGGTGGAGGCGGCGCTAGGTACTCATTTTTGTTTTTCTTTTCCGGCAGTACGGTGCATTTTTCGATATTATCTCAATTTCAACAGTGTTTCTCACGGCCGCCGCATGACATCGACCCCGAAGCTGGCTTGTTGCCGCTGCTGGCATCCTCCAGAAGCGAGGTTGCTTCAGCTAGTGGGCTCTCCCGCGGAGAAGCAGTCTGTCACTCCAGTGGATTTTCTTCTTACGGAAGCGTAGTCCCTGAAGGGACCGAGTTCTCGCTCTAAGGCTAAGCACAGCAATGGAGAGGGGCCATCGGATAGCCAGATGTCGTTTTCGGGGCGGTTGTCGTGATTCTCCACGCCCTCTCCTCAGCAAAAAAAATTGAATTATTCTCTGAATAGTCCTTCTAGATCGTGGTTTGATAACTGTGGTTTGCTTTCAGAGGAGCTGCTCACGTTGGAATCTTGAGAGCTCTACGAGAGCGTGGAATTCCTGTGGACATTGTGGGTGGTACATCCATCGGCGCTCTAGTCGGAGGAGTCTATGCCTCTACTCCAGACGAAAGAGTCGAAGAACGTACTAGGAAATGGTTCGGTGTAAGTCTCGCGACGCTTTTTGTTATTTTAGATATTATTTGCTTTTTTGTACAACAGAAGTATCATAAGCCTGAATTTTTGCGTTTTCTGCATCGATACCTCTCACGTAAACATCACTTCTTTTAGGGTATGACAAGCTTATGGCGCAAAGTCCTCGATCTCACTTATGCTCACTCAGCAATGTTTACGGGTGCCCAGCTGAATAAATCACTGCAGGATCTTTTTGAGGATAAAGAAATCGAGAATCTGTGGATTCCATACTTCTGCATAAGCACTGATATAACGTAGGTTTTCTTTTTCATCTGGCACAAATCAGGTCAGCAGTCGGCTCTGCCGACCAAATTCACCCCATTCGAAGCGGATTATACACTAAACTGGCGCTGTTCGGTTTGGGAGGGACATTTTGCTTTCGCTAGTTTATTTTGCTACTTCCTGTTAAAGTACACATCTTCCTTGGTGAGACCTGTAGCCTATCTCGAATGTGGTTGGAGCTCCTGCTACCACTCAGCTTTGTAGGAATTTACAGGTCTCCACGGGAGGGACTGTCAGTGGTCGATGGGAACCAGGAACATGCCTCTTCCTGAGCCGAACTGCGCCTGCCAAGTTTCTTGAAAAAAGTATGACCTATATTTGAAGGACTTCCGAGCTGCGTGTGCATCGCACTGGTCCACTGTGGGGGCGTACTGTAGAGCGTCGATGTCGTTGGCCGGTTATCTTCCTCCAATGTGCGACCCACAAGACGGTCATCTGCTTCTTGATGGTGGATATGTCAACAATCTTCCAGCAGATGTGATGAGGTACTCCTTCAGTCTTTGTTTATATTTGTTTGTTTGTTGTGTTTCAAGGTACTGGGTAAGGCTTCTGAGGGCGGGCGGTTATTACCAGCGTCATTGGTGGAACAGCCGCGAGAGAACGTTTGGCCACACCCCACTAGCCCGTCCATTAAAAACACTGGAGGCATCCACCCGCCTCCAGCGATCGTGCCCGCT